ACATGCATCGATTGAGGACAATTGCAAAAAGTCGACAAACATTGAGAAACATTTTATAGCAATTATTCATTTGTATTACGATATTGAATGATAGGCCTATTTAACTAACAATGTTGAAATATCCCGCTTAATGTACGTGCCTGTATTAGACTCTTGATCATAAATTTTGAGTTTACCCTACAGTTAGAAATAAAAAATAAATAAAAATTGAATTACATACATTTTCAAGTAATAGGCCTATAGGTTAGTACCGTAAGTCAATACACACAGAAGGTGTATCTTTAATTATGATTGTACAGTCTACCAATTGTTATAGTCTCTGCTATCTTCGATTCAATTTATTATTATAAGCTAATGAAAAAATATATATGCGAACGTTAATGGCGTATGGGCCTTACATCGGAGATCGATTTTAGCACCCTCCGCTTTTCAACTTGAACTTACAACGTCACGTGCCTGAGACTGTATAATGTATGTTTTTTACGTTAGTGGATACAATTCTCTTGTTCAGTTCTGCATCATAAAGTGAGAATTAAAAATGGAAAGTCAACACAAAGCCACTCACGTGAGATAGTTGGCCTATATAATAATACTAATAACAACTACAACAAAAATTGACAAAATAATATGAAGATGTAATGATGATGATGAGTATTATATTATGGATGGCATGCTGTCATGACCTATGCGCATCACAAGACAAGAAATAATATGCTGAACTCCTATTCATTAAACTATGACTTAATCAACAGTAAGTACGGTATATGACATTGGTTGCTGTAGGCATTATGCGAATGCATAATATGTAATTATTCATTAGTTACATTCTTAAAACTTCAAAAGGTGTTAAGCTCAGACTATCAAATTTTCTTTGACAAAAAAACCCTGTTGTATGACCATATATAGTCATGATGTGCCTATATATGGTCATGGTGTGATGTTAATTATGACTATATTTAGGCTTTAATGTGGCTGATTTATTCAAGCAATGAGGTGGGAATGCCTATGCGATGTGAATTATATAAGGATATAGGTCCTATATGACTAAGGTTGGACAATTCTTGATACCTAAGTATTAGTGACATAATGTTAAGCGTAGGCCTACCTAGTTTTATTATTAACATCAATAATGGTAAGAGTTGGAGACTTGATAACGCATAGTTTTCTTACTCCCCGATGAGCCTTAGCCGCCTCCTGTTGGAAGAAAACGGAAATTTGTAAATAGGAAATCTGTAAAAGATTCTTGTGCGACTGTTGATCAATTTATTATGTATAAAAAGCTATGTATAATGTGGTCTCGAATTTACAATTATTGGCGAACGAGTTTAGGCCAACATGGTGCAGCGTACGGATAAATTGACACAAATTGAACATGTACAGCCCGCTGCTCTATTCAAATGTCATTTCCTATGACAGTCTCCTAACAAGTTTGCGGTCTTCTTATGAACTGCATCCGGAAGTCGCCTCGGATACAACTATAGTGATAATACCCTTGTTAATTACAGGCATACAGAACCCTGATTCTAAGCTAGAAAACTGGGAAATGTATTATTCAGTAACATGCGACTAATATAGTAACGTCATAGATGTGCACAAGTAACTCAGGACAGTTGATTTTTCGTCTAATGATGTTTGTATTGAAAACGAAAATAAAACTTGAATATTTACAGGACAAACGAATAGGCCTACAGAAAAAGAGAATGATAAGCCTACAGGTTTTAAATAATAAATATTTTAATTTATCCAATATTTTATTACAGATATTGTTAGTTGTGAAATCTGGAAAAAACCTTCATAAAATTGATAACGATCAAATAAGTGTTTAACTTACATTTTACTACAAAAAGAAATAAGTATTTTAATTATTTCTTATAACGATCAGACCGCTTTTAAATGCTTGTTCGCCAATCCCTTGAAATTCCTTAAATGTCGTCGTCTTACTAATGTTATTGTTAGGCCTACTTTTATTTCCGTAATGAGTAAGGCATTGCTTTTTAATTTCATAATGTGTTGTGTTGACTAATTTGTGTTACTGTAATTTTTTTTAAAAATATTTTTGGTGTGATTCTGTAAAACGTTTAATACCCGGTACATATTTGAATTTTCTCAATTTTTATATTGTAACTTTGTCATGTGCATTTTTTAAAAATCAATTTTAAATCATAATAATTAGAAGAGTAATAGTAATAATAATGATAATAATTATAATAATAATAAAAGATCTTCATAAACTGTGTATGCATGAGCAATGTAATTTACTATTTTCGATGAATAAACAATACTTTGACTTTGAATTTGACAATGTTTTAATTGATTACCAATAAAATCATTTTAACTGTTTTTTTTAATCATCATGATAACAATGATTAATCATATTACCTTTATGTCTTTCATTATATATTATTATTTTTAAATGACAAATTGTTTCATATTATCAGTCAATTTTGATATATTTGCAACTTTTATGTATGTAATTCTGTGTGTTAAAACGTGTCAGCGGCTCGTAGAAAGCTGAAATGGTGATCCTCTAATTTTAAACAAATTCTCAAAAATTATGAAACAATAAAGGCATATAAAGTAATATGCCTATAATTCTTAATTTTATTTTAGAACGATTTTATTATTTTCCGATCTGCACCCCTGTACGTCTCTTTAAAACGCACTTGACATAACTGAAACTTATATGGATCAAAACAACGTTGTAATGATTTATATATTGTTCTGTTTCTTTCCATAATATACGTTTAATAGGCCTAAGAGAGTGATAAAAAATCTCCTTATTCGATCGTAAATTATCTTACTTTTTAGGCTATATTTAATTTGTCATTGCTAATTTGAGTTGTTAATTAGTTCACTTAGGCTTAGTTTTAGGTTTTCACTTTATAAATGCCATTTTGAGAGACGTCTTTTTATATTTTTAAAAATTAAATTGCACTTATTGTTAATTGATCTTTACTACATGATGTTTATAAATAATGTTTAATTGAACTGAATTAAACTCTTTCCATAATCATAGTAAATATTAAAGTAGAGCTTATGCTGTATTTTGCAAAAGGATTGAGGTTTCTTCATTTTTCCCCTTTAATCTTTTTATTGCAAAAATCATCATATCAAACACACAGTATCATGAATCAACAAGAAAAAGGGACGAAATAGGCCTAATTGAAAAAGGACTAATAGGAGACTCGAGGTCCATTGTATTTACCAACCACTTTTCAGCAAAGTAAATATAAAGGTTGGTAGTTAAAGCTCTCTTTAAATTGCGTTATTATTATCATTTTTATCAGGTCACAAAGATATACCATCGTGCAGAGAGGTGCATCGCTAGAGTTGGCCTCAACAAACCAAATATAGCCTAATCGTTTAATGGTCCACAAAAGTGAAAACGAACCACAATAGGTAATTATTAATTATCTTGGCAAAGTTGTAATAATGTTGTGATATAGCCTATTTCATTTAAAAACCGGGTCTGTAGTAGGCCAACATTTACTATAGTGCACGCCTTTTACATTATAGTTTTGTATAGCAATCACAATAGGCCTGTACAATGAGCAAATGCATTTTTAAACCGTCTACAGGTAAATTAAATTGCATTAAATTGCATTTGGTAGGCCTAAGTTAAATTGCACTTCTCGGCACGATGGTCATTTTGACCTGATTAAAATCGGTGGTTCTGGTTCTGGTGGGTAAAGCCGATCACCTAAGGACTCCAAAAGTGAAGGAGATGTGATGGTAATAATAACGGAAGAGACCCTTGATTACCAACCACGGAAATTACTACTCAAATCTTTATGCCCATGTTATTTACCATGACGAGGTCATGCTATTTAAAGTCATGTCAACTTCATGACGCTGAATTTTTCAATAGCTTTGAAAACTAACGCTTTGGAAGTTGGAACATGGCCTATTTTATACCTCCATGTCAACCACATTTTTAAAAAGGTGGCAAAACATAATTTTAACTTTTGTGATTGGCTAGTCCATGGTGTAATCTAACATTCGTTAATACAAATCAGCCATGACCCACGGGCAAGAGATCATATCGATGATTAAATGTTTTTAATCTGCGAAGACAAAATAAGTTATACAGGGCAATATGCTATCACAATTTGTTTACTTTTTCAAAACACAAGAAGTGTAGGCATAGGCCTATAAGTTTATATGTAATAAATATATAAATAATAGGCTAACAGTGCGCGATCCGAAGATTAGATTCTGGTTCTGGTGTTACATAATCAATCATAGACCATCAATTAAACGTTAAACATGTACTGTCCCTTGCAAAAAACAAAAACAAAAAAAAATCATAAAAATTAATTTTTGAAATTTACTTGCCCATTTTGAAGTAACATAAAATTTTCAACTTGAACATAGAAATTAGTGTATTTTAAAAATGCTTACCCATAAAAACCATCATTTTACAGCAAAAAAAAATGATAGAAACACTTCCAGTCACTGGAAGTGTTTTATTATCTTTATTATAATTATCCAGTTAAAAAATCAGGAAACACATTTTTTTTAAATTTAATAATTTCTATGCTCAAATTAATAATTTTTATGTTACTGCAAAATGAGCAAGTTACTTTAAAAATTATTTTTTATGATTTTGGTCATTTTCAAGGGACAGTACATCTTTAAGTCATAATAAAAGTGGTCGAATATAGAAACACATGGTGTCAACCGTAATAGGCCCCTATCAATCATTTGTAACGAAAGTTACAGATGCTTGATACTACGTTGTATGAAAAATGTCTCTGGCGAGTTTCGAACCGCTTTAATAATGAGAGTAATAAAACTAAAGGCTGGCATATTATTGCATCAATGATTGATTGATATAAATACAGTTTTTAAAATGTATCCTTAATCTGACACAGCTATATTTATATATTATATAGTTGTCTAAAGTGGGAATAAGATAATTAATGCACAAAACAATTAGTAGGCTAGTACGGTAATAATAAACAACGTAACAGGGTTTGGGTTGCTTGCTCTCTCCTGCAAAACATTAGCGGTGTAGCGCCTCCTATAAACACACTGAGAAAGAAAGGACAACACAAAAATCGGCGAACTGAAAATGGCAGCGACCGAGGCAGTTGTTTTGAGGCGGAATAGACCAGGAACGAAAGTAGAGGTTATTTTTCATTTTTCATGTTAATCGTTACTACTAAGTACAGTATTGATACATGTAGCATAATGGGCTCCTTCAAGTAAAGCCTAAAGGGGATCTGATACGGGAAAGTGAGTAATACATAGACCTAAGCTAGGCCTACCTAGGCCTGTTTTGCCCCTCCTTATACTTTGCGGGGCCGTGTATTGGAGTTTTGTTCGGCGTTTAGATAGGCCTAGGCAGGCCATAATTGTACATGGCTAAGCTAGGCCTAAGCACTGAGTAGTAAAACCATAGACTAAAACTTAGTTAAGTCTATAATAATAAGCTGACTACTATCTGTATAGTGTAGTGGGCTGTACATGGCCCAGTCTAAAGCTGTGTGCGCTAATTCACTTTTTTAGTAGGCATATACCCATTAATCTAATCTTAAATCATCTAAAATTTTTACACAGTACTATATTTACTATTTTCATAGGAGTTTTATGGCTGGTGTGACCAATCATTCGAGGAAATGGACAGCACGTTAGCTGTACAACAGGTAAGAGAATGAGTGTTCATCATAAACATTATTATTTACTGATACAGTATGCAGATCCTCTTGCTGGCCTAATAATTGAGGGTTAAGTCCTATTGAGAAGCTTCATCATCACAGAAAAGATATAAACATTAAAACGATGATTATTTTGTTTTATGATTAGTGATGTGAAATGTTTTTCATTAAAGAGATATCAAAATAAATCTATTGAAAATTTTGCTTTGTCTCTATAGTATATACAGCAGAATATAAGAAGTGATATTGGGAACATAGACAAGATCTTAGAAGCACCTGATGGCCAAGATGAAGGCGTTTGGAAATATGAACATTTACGGTAAAGGCAGTTTTCCACTAGGCAAATTTATTCGTGCAAATCAAAAGCGTCAGTTCAATTCCTGAGCTATGATTTCTCTTCGCTTCGCAAAAAGTAGAAGCAGTTTAAACCACTGATTTCGCTGGAGTGAAAAACTCTTGATAGGAATGTGAATGAGCATACACATAAACTGATGCTTTCGATTTGTGCAAATAAATTTGCCTAGTGGTAAACAGGCTTAAGGGCTGAAATATAAACAAATTACTATGGAAATTCTTTTACATGCTGTAGTACATTAAGATAGCAAGGTTGAAGTTTAAGGTCAGGGTTGAGCAAGCTCCACCATTAACACCTCAGATTTCGGATTTACTTCAGATTGTCGGAACAATATCTACGGCCTAAACAAAATATTGGTAATGGTAGAAGCACTGAAGAAAATGGGTTCGGAATCTGGGTAACCTTCAATATTGTATACCAAACATATAAACATTTTTTTCTTTTATAGGCAATTCTGTCTCGAGTTGAATGGTTTAGCAGTTAAATTACAAGTAAGTACTGTACAAAATTTGCTATGATTTATAATTATATGACAATGTGATTTGGTTAGCTATGGCTTAATATATTGGAGTTTTAGTGAACTGGCAGGTTAAACATATGTTTTGGTTTTTGTAACAGAGTGAGTGCAATCCAGACAGCTGTACACAGATGACAGCAACTGAGCAGTGGATATTTCTGTGTGCTGCCCACAAAACACCAAAAGAGGTGAGTTTGTTATTCAGACCCCCACCCCTCCCTCATCAGTGGTGGCGCCAGCAGGGGGGGGGGGAAAGGGTGCTTAAGCCCCCTCCGGACAGGTCAAGCCCCTCCGGACAGGTCAAGCCCCCTGCTGGACAGAGCTCATCGGGGCAGTCAGCAGACCATAAAACATATAAAAATAGGCCCACACCAAGCCAACACATTCTGAGAGTGCCATTTTCGGCCATCCAGAGGTTGATGTTCTTCAAAAAAAATCTCATTTGGGAGACCCCTTCCTCAAGCTCAAGCTACGAGCTCAAGTCCCCCTGTCGGACAACTTAGCCCCCCAAGAAAATATATCCTAATGGGTACATTTGACAGTGCCTAGAAAAGACAAAAAAAACCATACAAATACAAGCTGTACAGAATATTTAACATTTCCTATAAATATATACCACCAATACCCATAATAAAGCATGTTTAATTAATACTAATGATTATAATAAGAATATTAAATTTGTATGTATAGCACTACATAACATTGGTAACCAGCATTGTTCTTCTATATGCTGTGATTTTGTTTACTTATTTCAGTGTCCTGCTATAGACTACACTCGGCACACACTGGATGGGGCAGCTTGCCTCTTGAACAGTAACAAGTATTTCCCGAGCAGGTAATTTCAGTGTACTTAGCACTAAATACCATATTGTAAATTTTTAAAAAATTGAGATGAGGATATCTAAAATATCAGCTCACATTCAAATCGCTAGGGAAAATAGATGCGCAGAATCGTAATTGCTGCATAATTGCATTGGCTATATATTGAGATTTGGTCAAAGCCTAATTTTTGGCAAAATCTGAGCGGAAATCGGCCCTTATTTTCCGTAATACGTGGACGGATTTCTATGCCAAATTTTTTGCGCAGAGGATATATTCCCCGTGCAGGCCTTACTATACAGTCTGGACGAAGTATCAATACATGACAGGCCAGTATTATGTGTACAGCAAGATGGAAAAGGGCTTGTACAGGTTCATCATTTAATGCAAATACAGCATACAAACAAATCCATAAAATTTCCAATGGAGTCCTTATCAAAGGATATACAATGATACTAATTTCAACTAATGCAGATAATATAGAGTAAACTGAAAAAAAATAATTACAGGTTCATCATTTAATGCAAATACAGCATACAAACAAATCCATAAAATTTCCAATGGAGTCCTTAACAAAGGATATACAATGATACTAATTTCAACTAATGTAGATAATATAGAGTAAACTGAAAAAAAATTAATAGTATTTTATTAATAAATAGTTTATAATAATTATTTATATTTCTGTGTTATAAAACATTTATTGGTTGTTTTGACTTTTTTTGCTCAACAGAGTAAGCATCAAAGAATCCTCGGTTGCAAAGCTTGGCTCTGTATGTCGAAGGGTGTACAGAATTTTCTCGCATGCCTACTTTCACCATAGAACATTATTTGATGAGTATGAGGTAGGTGTGTTCAACGGTCAATCAATCATTTAGTCGCCTTAATGAAGTTCAGAAGAGGACCCCAGATACCCTCAACAGAGGGGTGTCGGGAATTAAACCAAGTGGACTCAAAAGATATAATGTAATCAACAACAAAAATGTGAAGATAGCTAGAGCTAGTAAATGGAAGAACCACTGTTAATAACAGTATATGATTAAAATAAATGAAAAATCTTTATAGTAGTCCATCCATTGAAATCATCTGTATAAATGTTTTCCTTTTTTGACAGAATGAAACCCACTTGTGTAAGCGATTTACAACATTTGTGATGAAATACAATTTGATGACGAAAGACAACCTCATTGTTCCCATCTTGGAAGACCAGCAGGCTACATTAACCGCAGCGCACAGTAGCACAGCAACAGTGTCAGGGGATGCAAGTCCAGACAGTTAATTTACCGGTCGTATGATGGTTCGCTAACCTAGTGTTTGGCTTCATCTAGATTTCTTGTACTAGATTATTTATAATAAAACTGATGTTAGGTATGAACAGATTGGTCACTGTAATAAGGATGTTTTCATTTTATTAATATAATCAGGGTTCCAAGCATCATTTCAGAGTACAATTCCAAAATGTTTCTGTCTTTAGTGTGATAACTTGCTGTTGCTATGCACCTTGTATTGTAATTACAGCTAACAATGGCCGTATTTTACTGGTTTGTCTCATTGATGATATTTCGTTGAATATTATTTTCATTTGGCTGGTTTGTAAAATAGACTTCTTGACAATGGAAATTAACGTAAACTAGAGTATGTTAATTTTGCAATAAGTTATCCATGTGACCAAAAAAAAAACATGGCCGATTGGTCAGTTTAGCGACAATATTTGTATTAATATAATTTAGATTCCATTTCAGAAAATAATAATTATAATATTTACCCACATGAAGACAAAAAAATAATTGTAGATGAACAGAATCCAAAAACTGCATAAAAAACTTTTTTTACAAAAAACCCATGCTGCCACAAGCTGAAGCAACCTTGATTACGCTAGCTTGTATCGTCATGGTAACTACGCAGCCATTTTGTTGAATATTTACCAGTTTTGTATCACTGCGCAGGTAATCGTGGCTTAATGGAGAATGAACAGTCGTTTACAGCCATTGTTTTGTAGCTTGTTAATTTAAAACATATCTGCTAAATACAAATTATGTTTTGTTGGGGCAAACACACACTGTGTGTGAAAATAGGAAAGGAATAAAGCAAGCAAGCAAGCAACCAACCAACCAAAATGTATGTAGTGGCAGTCTGGTTTTGTATACAGTAATAGCTTTGTTTGTTTGTAATCTGTTATATGCCCATATATAGGCACATCATGACTATGAGGATGATGATGTCATTATGGCCATATTTATGTATGTCAAATGTTTTTGTAGAGGGCTTAATACAGCAGTTGGATGTAATCATAGGCTATTGTGATGCTTGACATTATTGCAATGTGTAATGTTTATTAATATATATTTGTCTTTTAAGGTGCGAGTAGAGTACTGTATATACATAATTCAATTAAAGTATATAAAATTTCAGAAGTGGAAGGCATTTTGCAAAATATATCAAATAGAATTTTAGATGAGGCAATTAAAAATATTAAGGCAAACCAGTAAAAATGTATTAAATACAATCTGCATTGTATGACTGGCTGGGGGAAGAGTTTTGTCAGCTTGTAATTGTCTATAATTTTAAAAACAAAATTATATTGTATTGCAGATTAATCAAAATTTCCTTTTTAAAAATAATTGAAACCTTTGTACACAGAGCAAATAAAATGAGATGATGATTTGATTTGTTTGAAGATTGTGTTTTCATTGTTTCTTTTATACAAGACTAAGTAAATATTTAGAGGTGGGGTGCCAGAGACCCCACAACAATGAGTTACATTCACCTCAATGGTTTGGGGGTTGAGGTGTGCAAATTTTAAGAGCATCTAGATGCCTATGACAGTCAACTGTACAAGAGTGTTACATGCCTGAAGGCCAAATTGACTTTTGGAAAAATTAAATGTTATTATCATTATTTTATTATTCCTTTTGACAAGTACTTTTACTGATGATTGGCAGGAGCCTAACAACAGTGGATTTTTGAGCCAAGGATGGTAGGCAGGCTCTACAAATAGGGCTTTTAAATTACTTTTGCAGGCAACAACAAAATTAAAGTCCTGTCCTGTGATACAAGATATGACTGCCTAAACAAAAAATACCATACAAATAAGACTTCAATACTTTTGAAACATTATTTGTGGCAGATGGCTATGTTGACCAGGGCATCCCATCTTCTTTGACAGGCTTTCATATTATGTGTCAACAGCCGAACAACATACTACCAACAATACAATTTAAATTATGGGTCGCCAAATAAACAAGGCTCTTAACTGTGAAGTTGGTCACTGTAAATTGAATGGACTTTTGTTTGGGTCATCGGTCAAAAAGTTTGAAAATCACTGACTTGGTAGGTATAAGCCTATACTGGATACCAATTTACCTCAAGGGAAGCAATGAAAATAAAGACCTACGTAGACAGGTAGCCAATATCAGATGTAACCTTTCGATTTATTTTATTTGAAGGCTATCAGTATTTATACTGTACGGAAGAGTGACCACTCCATGCTGATAAGAAAATGAACTAAATGCATTGAATTTAAATAAGAATATACTGTAACAGAAACCAGGTAACAAATTCAAGATTTATATACAAGTTTATTTGTAACTTTTTTTTTTAAATCAAATTCACCAACTTCAGAATACATGATTTACATGTCCATATTTAGTCTCCTAGCATCAAGAAGAAATTTCAAAATTAATATATAAACATTGGACAAATTCATTGCAAGCCTCAACAAAAGAAAACAAAAATAGTTAATTGCTATATAAAAAAAAAACAATACTGTAGTTTTCAGATCATATGGATCGCATTCATCCCTAAAATGGTTAATGAAACATATCTAATGCTTAAAATATGAAGACTACGCAAAATATGTTATAATAAAAAAATGGAAACTTGTGTGATCCTAGGCCAAGCATTGCCAGACACTCAAAATATTAATACATACAGGTTTCTGGCCTTATACTTGCTATCTTTAAAATGTTCTACTATGTTTGATTAATGAATCAATGAGTTAGCTTCATAATTCCTGTGAACTTGAATTCACCATTCTATGCCAGTTAAAATGTCAACATCCTGCCCTCTCTTGTCTTGTGACTGCGTCTGATGCAGTGCATTACCTTATTTATATCTAGGTGCACATGATTACTTTTAGAAAGCATTATACACATAGTTATGATATAAACAGGGAATTGCACTTGAATAAAAATAAACCTATTATATCACAGACTTAAATATTTACAACATCACATAACATCTAGAAAAAAAAACTTCCCTAAAATGTGGTTTTAGAAGCCAAAGGGCCTACCAATCAAATTAGGGAATTATAATAAACAATACCAATTAATAATTCAATGAACTTGATAAAGAATAAAATTCAGTAATAGTTTTGTACACTAATTATTTAAATTCTATCAACAAATATTTTCCTTGACAACAACATAATTCCATTCCGATTATTCTTTGCATACACCATTAAATTGGGTGAAAGACAATTTAAGCATTTTAATAGTAAAATGACTATAAATCAGTAAAACTAAATTGTTTCTCTAATTGAAGTGGATATCTTATTTGATAATTATGCATTATACTACATATAATGTAGTATACATACAGTATAAGTACTATGAAGCAATATGCAAATTCAAAGTTATATAAGTAACATGAGAGCTACAGAAAAACATTCTAAAATTATTGGTAAGTGTGATAACTTGTGATTTATCATAAGATGACCTCTATGTGACCTGTATATGCGATGTAGTAACTAACATGTGAAGAACACCTTGTTGGTATGTAGTATCATCGCCATGATGATAGATGACAAATGAATAAACACAACTTTGTTATACAATTATAAAGGAATTGTAGTCTTGATCTGTTAGTACCATGAGTTGAGACTACAGCTACATATATAACAGCATGTTTACAAATTTTTTTAATATTAAAATCTTTAAACCAATGAAACTGAATTGTTTTTCTGTTAAGTGATGTAGTAAGCTTATTACACACTTACAAAACAATATAAAATAATAAATTTTAAGTTACTTTATATTGTGTCAGCCTATAGGTTTGTACTTAGATATATTTACCCATATCTACACAGTAGCTTGCATACTACTGTAGACATGGTATAGAGTGCCTACTGTTGTTGGATGAAAATGGACTTATACAATCTGTGTAAATGTAAAATAAATGAAAACATTAAAAATAGTTATTAAATGGCAGTCGCCGATATTTTGAAGTGCATGGTGATATCAATCAGCACTAACTTCTGTGAGACAACTGAAAAACACAGTCGTGAAATCATGCAAATATTATAAATTTGTGGTAGTGCTGTAGGCTGTCCCGACTTGTGGGAGATTTGGTACCTTTGTTACTGAGCAGCTATCAAGTGGTCATTACGGCTGAGTACTTCCACAGCTAGCCACAGTTTATCATATCTTTTATAGCTGATGAATCAGAACCTACTTATTTCCAATTAAAAACCAAATACAAACACAAAAACTTGCCAAATATTAGTTATTCTATGAATAATTAATATCAACATAAATTTATGCAAAAATAAAGATACAATGTTACAATGCTGTTAAGTTATGTGAAAAGGGTATGTAAACTATAGCTTAGCTATGGGAAGCACTCAGTTATTTTTTAAATTTTTTGTCGTTATTCCAAGTTTGGAATTAGACATTGCGGCTAGGCCCCTGGACACCCACGGCAGTCATAATACGGCGCCATTACCATTTTCCCTGCCTTGACTACCGCTCATGCAAGGCTTATTCGAGGAGACTTTAATTAAAATCCGATGTTGTTTTGGATTCGAACCGGGGTCTTAAGCACAAGAAGCACGAACATTACCTGTTGGCCTAACGCTCAGATCAATAGTTGTAATCGTAATCGTGAGGGGTGGGCAAGGCAGGGGACATGGTAATGTCATGTTGTGTTACACCACACCTGGGCTACCAAAAAAACAAAAAAGAAATCTGGCCAAGTGTTGTCTCTTATTCAAGTACAGCCACAGCTTTCATTGCATTGCAATCAATTAAAACTTCATAAAGCTTTCCCACAGTGGCATCAGCTTGCGTCTCCCATGAGCGTAGAACCTGATGTCCAGGCTCAGGCCGAGTTGTCAAGTATCTTATCAAGTTGTTTTCAATGCCAAGGCGTTCAGCTACAAGACTACACCCACCTCCATTTTCTGCAAAGAAATACCAAATAATGTGTTGGCGAAGGTGCGTTTTGTTTATTTGAATACCTTCGGCAAGTTTACACTGGTGCAGCTAACCTTGGTATTTAGTTAATTCTCTTACATACTCTACCCTTGGTGTTTGGCTTTATAGAGCTGAATAATTCCTGGAGCTGGATTTTTCAAGCTGCTTAGCAAAAATAGTGGATACGGTGGAGCAGCAAGAACAGTTTAGTTTTCGAGCCTCCATGTGGGTGTTTCAATAGTCACTTACTGTGTTTTTCTCTTGTGTCCTTGGGAATAGGCACTGTATCTACACTGATTTAGTCTACCCAGCTGTATTGATGAGTACAAGCAAAATTGCTGGGAGAAACCTGCAATTTGCTGGGAGTAATCTGTGACAAACTCTCTTTCACTACAGAAACTGGGTACAAGTTCCAGCCTTTATGAGCCTCGAGCCTGGTGTCCATAAAAATCGCAACACGCTATTGCCGACTCCTTTGGAGATGCTGATTGGTCAGTTAAATCAGGGAGCGTTCCCGATTGTGTCGGGGACAGCTACGCAGTGCAACAATTTCAGTAAAAAATTGCAGCAACAGTGTAGCGAGTGTATGAAAACCAAGCTAATGACTCCTGAAGGGAATAACTTTTGTTTACTTTTAGTTAAAATGATCATCTTAACTTCAGCATCTACCATTTAAAATTATCATTATCACTGTGGTATTTATTCTCATCAAGCCTAGATCACTACAATGGATGTAAGTAAGAGAGCTATATAAATCAAGTTATTGTTACTATTATTGCTATTGTCAACATAATTTTCATAATTAAGAACTTTACTTACTGGGGTCAAGCATGTTAAGTTCCAAGACAAGTCTGTAGCGCATACCATATGGTAAATCTGTATACTGGGTAGTCGGATCTGCTTGTGTGCCTATAAAAAATTTGTTTAGACTCGGATCAATGTTAATGTCACAATACAAATTACTATGTTTGCTTGTAAGTACAGTGAACAAATATATCACAGGTGGGAAAATTGCGGCCAGTGGAGTAGCCTGACAGCAACTTGTTTGAGGCCAAACTCCGATCATCTGTAAAAAGTAATACTAAAACTGAGCTTAAAGCGGTATAAAAGCACTGCATAAAGGTGTTTCTAGGAATGTCAAAATACGGGTGTGGCCCTCAGAATGCAAAATCAAAAATTCACTTTGGCCCTCCAAACCAATTTTAAGCCCACCCCTGCTATATACAGTATGTGAACCCTTCGTTTAGAGGGAAGAAAGGGGTGGCAAGTGCAAGGCTTATGGCTTGAATAAGACAAAAAATGCCACAGAAATTATGAAAAATGTGGACAGATATGTTTGGAAATTGTCATCTGCAAAAGTCATCAACATGATTTTCTTTTATGAGCTCCCAACTTTCTGCGAACCCTATGTAGACGCTTTTGAGTTGGCAGACCCAAAAGATTTTTTGAAGACCACTGGAAAGTCGGTCTGTTTTTGGAAAACACTGTCATAAGCACAACTTATGAATTTTAATCAATAAATGAATTGTAAAAGAAATAACCTTCAAAGTTGATATTGGCAGGCTTATATATATTATGTACTAGAATGTTTACTTTTCCTCCGTCTCTAATTATAAGTAGTATTCATGAGGTATGTACTGTATATGGTTCTTAAGTGATTACTTTATTTCATTAGCAATATACAGTAGTGATTTGATATTTTCCATATTTATTTCTGTTTTCAAAATGTTTACTTTATTTTAATAATTTCTTGTGAATTTGTACTGCCTAACTAATACTGTTCCAAGGCACATTATTTCAATTATTTGAAATATCAGCCAACCTTTTGAGGTATACTGAAAGGGTCACACTCTATAGATAAGGTAAAAAAAAAGGCATTTCTTTTGTATATCAAATTTTACTTTGAATAAACAACTAAAGGAAAATGATTCAATTTACCAACAGTGCCAGCAAGAAGATGTTTGCGCATTTCACCAATAACGTCTTCTCTTCCATCCTTCTCACCACGCAGACTACGTACCATCTCTTGAATATGCTCCCTCTTTTCGGTCCTTGTCAAGTGTGGGTTCTCATTCAAAAGAATACCAGCCCATTTCTCAAGAACATTTGACACTTTTAAGTTAGCTTTTACCTCCTGAGGATCATATAGTTAAATATAGCAAAAATTACAGACGATGTTCAATGATTAACAATACAGTAATAGTATTATCAATTTCAAAGTAATAAATATAATAGAAAACAAATTATGCTTGCTATTCCAAAACCAGAATCGGTGACAAAAAAAAAAAAATTAAAATTGACATTTTAATATATGGCTTCTCTGCACTACTTTTACTCATAACTTTGCAAATAGTTTTTTTCTTCGCCAGGAATTTCCCGCGAACGAACGATCTAACCAACGGAGAGGCCAATTTGGGTCACTGACGGGTCATGGCTAACACGGCATAAACTAAAAAGTTTACCACAAAACATGTGTTTTCTGAATGACAGCTGTATAACGAATACATGTTGAAATGCACATTTATAGAACGCATTCTTAACCATGTAGTTGTTTTTTGGCCCATTTCTGCTGGGAAAAAAACATGTTTTTTCTAATAACTGTTTTAAACTCAGCAGAAACAGGCCCTATATGACCCATCATTTTAAAGCTTACAATGTGGGGAATAAGCATATACTAAAAAGTCAATTTCATTTTTTTACTTTCTTATACTATTTACTCAGTCACATTCTTAAATAGTTTGTCAGTTTAACATTTAGCAACATTATGCTGGTTTTGGGATGACATGCCTCAAATATAAAAGTATAAATAACACAAAAAGTAGCAGTCGCAGTAGCGATAGTATCAGAAGTAGTAGTAGTGGCAGCACAGCGGTGCAGGGCTTGAAATTAACTTTTTTTCTTGGTAGCACTGCCAAAATTTTCTGGCACCCCCCAAAAAAATTTGGTAGCACGAGTAATGTTTTTAGCAGCACATATTTCCCCATCCTTTTCGCATCCCCTAAGATAATAAGCGCTGCGCAATATTTTATTCTTTATATTTCCTAACAAACCCCCACCCACCCACACCTACACTGTCCCCATGGATTATTATGCAAGAGAGAAGACATGAAAGAAAAAGAGAACAGATTTTTAAAAATTGAAAAAAAAAACAAAACAAGAAAAATAAAAATAAATTAGAAATAGCAAAAGGAAGGAAAGAAAAAAAAAGAAAGGAAAATGGTGGAAAGAAAATGACAGTGAAAAAACCAAATGAAAGGTAAGTATCAAAAATGAAATAAGAAAAAGGATGAAACAATATTAAAAAGAAAATAGATATTAAAGGGATAGTAAAGAAAAAAGGTGCAAGGTAAAAAATTCAACCTAACTGGAAGGAAGTATTTCATGGAAAGTTTCAATTGTTAGGAATATTTCTAAGAAAATTACAAATTTCTGTTAATTATTAACAGATATACACAATATAAAAAAGAAAAACATGAGCAGTAATAATGTGCTAGCTAAACTGTCTAGACAATGGACTGCCAAAATCTGCAGTTACTTAAGCGGATTGATATATTGATTATAAAATTATTAATTATTATTACTGAAACATTAATTACATTTCCTGTACACTTTTTAAAATTTTTCAGTATTTTTCTTCATTTGTGCAGGAAATTTCGAGAAAATAGGTCCGCAGAATCGCATTAACACTGCGAATGCCTATACATTGGTTACAATAGCCACCGGCCGACTTTACTGCAACATTTGCGCGGAAATTGGCAGACTTATTTTTAATATGCGTGGATGGAATTTTTTCTTTATGAGGTAACTCTAAATCAATTTACACATAATTTCAACCTAAACAGAGTTACAGAGTTTTCACCAACATTTCGGGAGTGCTGAGATTCCAGCTCCCCACTTGTCAAAGGCCATTTAGGCTTCGTTTTAAGCCCGAAAAATTGGCATCACACAGTCGGCCGGCGACACTTCTTATTTAGGTTATAATGTAGCCTAGAACATTAGGCCTGGACCTGTACAACTTCAGCAAAGTATCTTATACCTACTGTACATATACAACGATCTATAGTTTCATTTTCTTGTTCAATGGTTATTTTTATTGAGAATTATTTAAAAAAAAAAAACTGGTACGCCTTCCAACTTCGAAACTTCAGTATTAATCGCAAGAGAACATCGTCACACTTCTAGTGTTTACAACGGTTTCGCGGAGTAACATATCCCAAACATTGCAAGTTGCCCCGAATGATGTAATATCCCAGCATTCTGATTGGTTTACAACTTGCAATGGACTCAACATACCTTACTCTCCAGCCGGTGTAGTCGGGCGCACACGTGGTTTGGGATGTTACTCCGCGAAATATAGTTTCGTAATTGGAAGGCCTGCTACCAGTTAATTCGATGTTGTTTTGTTGTTGTTGTCAAAACAAGAAACATTCCTTGTAGAATTATATATTTTTTATATTATAGATTAAATTAACCAATTAATTCCATTGTTGCACTTTATTAATTCCACGTTTAAAATTTAATCTTTAAATATTCATTTATATACAATTCAATTTTTATATTATTTCAAAACACGATTAAACAATCATTTTGCTTACTTTCTGCTGATACTTTGTTAAGAACGAAATAAATTGTTTGATAGAGGCCCATTACTAGTTGCCTATGAGATAACTCTGCTATCTACTACATTCAGTGAGAAACGTTCGCAATTCCAGGCTCCTCCTGGTAGACACAGACACCGAGGTTGCCAGACACAAAGTCATTTGACTCTTTGTATGCCGCCGATACGAACAAAAGTAGGTCAGAAGCCGATTGGCTCGTTCAGTAAATAAATGGTAGTAAAGGGGTTGCTTTCTATATTATTTCATTTAATTAGGTTTCAAAATTTGCTATGAGACCTATTTGTTTGTTTGTTTTTTTTTTGTAAATTTCAAGATGTTGTTCATTGAGATGCATGTTGTTAAACTATAGCTGCTCCGTAAAGTCTGGCTGAGGTTATCATAAAAGAGTATTTTATACCCTTTGTTATCATCAGCCATGTGATTGAAGAAGCGTAATCATATTTCATAATGTATGAGGTTTAGGTAATTCGTTTGGTTTTCAATGGTAGTACTTTGAATATAATCATCCAGATTATGCCTAATTGCATTTATTTACGATCTATTTAGAGTTAAATTTTGATTACTGCTTGATCTGGGCCGCTTACATCGTATGAGTCAATACTGTATACGATCGTTTGAAATTTTGGTACATAGTCTATTTTATGAACAAATACGTTAAGGAAACGTTCACAATTACGAGGAGGTACAGGTAAGAGTAGCACTCAATAAAATAGTAAAAAATCGTGCAATCCGATGTTTTTATACCAGTCTACTTCGATTTGACAGTGATCGCCTATTTACCAAAAATAAGATGAGCACACACCGACACGGTTTTAGTGTAAAACGTCACACTTTAACAGTCTAGATCATGCTGATTGGTTGATACAGTACATGTAAAATGAATGATAACATGTTTTGCCTACTGCCTTACTGAAAATAATGGGCTGTACCAGTTGTAAATAATTGGGATTTGGAGGAAAACCACCTTCCTGCCGCTTACAAAATCTACTCGCGATATCAAATGACCTGGTCGCACTGAGCGCGACAAAGTTGATTTCCTTGTCGCACCTTAAAAAATCAGGTCACAAATGCGAACAAATAAACCTTAATTTCAAGCCCTGCGGTGGTAGTAGTAGTCGTAGTATTATGTACTTAATAAACTAAATGTGACTCACTAAATCAAACTTATCTGACTGTTCAGAATCCCACTCCATTTCGGATGCAATTTGTTTGGTTTCATCCCTCTTTAAATTCTTCTTTTTATCCAAATCTTTTCTGAACTGTTTCTTACCCTTAGTCGATGGATCCAGCATGAAGTCAGAGAAGAAGGAGTCGAAATTTGACAGTGGTGCAGGTTCACTTTTTTGATGAAGATTTTTGACTAAAAAATAGATTTATAAATAACATCAATGGTAATATTGGTGATAATGCAGTGTTCTCTTTAAGCTTTTTTAGCCGTCAATTTTACCGGTAAAAATAACCGACCAACCAGTAAAAAATTTGAGTTTGTAAAATAAAAAACTATTAAATAGGTCTAAGTAGTCTAGGCTGGCCCTCTTTTAATAACCTAACATTATTCCAGTCTATGCCTAGGAATATGTGTTCTTCAAGTCATTAAACCCCACTCAAAAGGGGTAACGCTTTACACTGCGAGCATTGCTGATTTATTATGGACAAATTTACCAGTAAAAATTCTTCAATTGGGAAAACACTGTAATGGTTATAGAGTTCTGTTTAAATGCTAAATTTCACTTTGTAATAACAAATAATAATAATAATAATATTTATAACAATAATAATTGTAAATAAAAAGTTTAGTTTTTGTATATGTTTCAAAATACTTATTTAAAACATTTTATTCCCAATGAAAATTATTTTTAGTAATGAATTATTTGTGCTATGATGATAACATTTCTTTAGGATGAGGCAGTGGTGATCGATGATACCAAGAGTGCAGTGCCATCCATTCACTATTAGACAATAGTGTGCTATAACCTGTACCTTAGAGAGAGAGAGAGAGCAGCTTAATGGAATATCAATAGTTTAGCAAATATTTCAGTATATTTTATTTTAAGAACTTCAAAAGGTGCATGCATGTGCAAGTCTCATGCTAAATAATTATATAAGTCTTATATAGCGCATAATACAAGAAAGCTTTACATAAACAAAAAGAAACATAACCATGAAATATCCTAATACTACAAATAAAACTAATACAGAAAATGGCATAAAAGGCAGAAGAATCATTTCCACTGCTCTTTTCTCCAGCACTTTGAAATTCTAAAAGTTAGGGGCTCGCTGAAACAGTACTCATAGGAGCTGTAGTGAAAATGATATCTACCTAGCCTATCCTACAATTAATAAAATAAATAAATCAGATGTGAGAGCGCGATTGCAATAGCTAAACATGCGAAGAAAAATATGTTGCAAAAATTTGTTTTTTAAAGATACTTCTTATAAATTTAAACTGAAGTCAAATTTTTTGTATCTTCAGAAAGGTCATTCCATATATTTATGCAGATGAAAACGTGAATGATCAGTTGTAAGAATTAACAGTGTTACAATGTGCTTAGTAGGTGTGAAAAAATCATGTGTAGGCACAATCTATCTGCCTTTTTTAGCCAGTCAACAAAGTAAATTTAAACTGCTATTAAACTGCACTCACTGCTTGGGACCACACAACGTGCGATGTCATGTTCGGAGTCGACTTGAATAGGCATCATTGCAACAATTTGTTGCAACTTGGTGTCATGCGGCACAGCACTCGCACTTTGCTCCTCATCAGGTATGTCTTCATCTGTTGAAAAGATAAATAACATTTTTTCACAAAATATTCTTTCAGTTCTATTCCATGTGGAAAGAAAGTCACACAAACCTAATTAACCAGCATTAAGTCACCTAAACTACCGTACAAACCAAGCATGTTTTTAATTAATATTGTTTCTTTGGAATTCATTTACAGTATATGTACTGTACTCTTTTGAACAGAAGTCCATCATGCTATCTTAAAAAGAAAACGATGGGCTTCTTTTCGAGGCTACTTTTGCAAACTACTGTAAAGAGAGGGCTTCAATTTGAAATAGGCTTCTATTCAAGGTTTTACATTATATTGATAACATGGCCATCAATACAGATATGCTTCAGGGCAGACCCCTTGCATGCTCTGAAGGTCTGCTTAAGGGAATCTATATCCTAATTTTTTTTATTGTTGATTGTTTTCCAAAGTCTAATAAGCTATGTTCTCACACGGCAGTTAATGGTTAGCAGGATGCGGATCCTGCTAACCATTAGCTGCCGTGTGTCCATACGAGAAAATCCTTATCAGGATACCAAGAATATGATAGTCAAATCACTGGCCAATAAGAAATCCCTACGTGTGATTGGTTGATGATAGAAATGCGCTCATCTTGCTAACCAATAGAGCTTGCTACCGATCCGGATACTAGGTTTCTCGTGAGAACCAGGCTCTAGAATGGTTCTCTCAGCCTAGATTAAAAGGCCAGCCTACTGACCTACAATATGTACCTTAATTAGTAGTTATTTGTTTTTAAGAGACAACATAACAGAATCCTTTAAACAATAACATAGAATATCCTACCAGAAGTGTTGCTTTTTATATGAAATTCATCACAAAATTTATCGAACAGGTCTTTGCGTTTAATTTCATTTAATGCTTTCAGCATGGCACCTACAGTAGCACAGATTCCTTTAACTTGTCTCCACTTTTTCAGTAATTGATGCACAATTTCCCTTACACCGTCATTGCGATAGTTTACCTCAATTTCATCAATTTCACAATCGGGTAATCCAAGTTTTCTGGCCAAATCCTTCCTTTCTATTATCACCTTACCTTCGATGTAGATTATCATTTCATCAGTAATCGTTTCCTCCTATGAACAGAGGAAATATAACCTTTGATATTATTTGATATAATGCTGGTAGAACTAAATATCGGTAATTCCTAACAATGTCTGCTAAAGGATTTACATCTCTAAAATTAGATCAATCTTATGAAGTTGTCTGAAAATCTCCCAGGTATCTCCCAGATAACTATCAGAAACATCATTTTCTTTTCTCATTTGTTTACAGGACTAAATTGCATATATCTTCCAAAGTTTTAAAGCCTTTTTCAAAACTTTTATGCCCAATAGTCCCAGGAAAAATTGATGATTTATTATCATTTCACATTGCATAAAAAATAATCCAATTTGGTTTATGTAAAATGTTCTAACAAGTAAACCACTAGAGATAAATTCTTCCTAATAGATCCAACCAACTAGTTGTACTGTATGAGCTAGTCCACGCTTTTAGACTGTGGTGTAAAGCACTATATAAAACTATTAATATTATTAATTGTAAACATGTTTTGAGCGTACCCAACTCATTCTTGGTACATCAAATAAATTTGCATTTAAAGTTCGGTGCTATCATCTCTCCTCTACATCTACCACTAACAAAATGTATTGATGTTTAATTTTGATACACAGAATTTACTTTAAATTTAATTTTATTCATAGCAGTTTCTATTGATAATTAGAGTCGCATTCAAACACACAATCTTTACCCATAGGCAAATTAACAGCATTACATTCTAAGTCGGAAACTCACTTGTATTGATCGTCGGTTTCTTTTGCGAGAAACAGAGGCAACAGCAGGATTATCATTATGGGCAGGAACAACAGCAGTATTACCATGACGTGAGGTCACTTGAGTTGGGGTCCCCTGAGTTGGTGTCTCTTGAGGTTGAAATGAGGTCAGCATCCCCTTTGTAAAAGAAGCAGTTATATTTATTCTACTATATTCTAATTTTAAATTGTTGCTTCAACAATAAATGAACATGTCTTCCACACACAATGAACTGTAAAACAGACCAAAAACAGTAGAACCCCCTATTAAAGATACACCTTAAAGTGTCCCCTGAATAACGGATTATTTACATTTGAATCATTTGAAAACAGGGATATAGTACATTTTCTGGATTTAAAATTTGACAACAGCGTAGGAAGTACAGACTGTCAATATATCCATTATGGTAGCTTTGCACCATGGAAACATAAGATTTCTTGGATTTGTAGTTTAGTTTCAAGAGCCCACAAAACTGTGTACTCCCAATAAACTTCAAGCAGAACTTTGTGACATTAGACAATTTATGTTATGGAATGGGTACCCTTTAAAAGTTGTTAACCATGTACTCAATAAATTAAATGAACCTAAATGTATACATAAGCCTACTGATGATAGTTTGACTAAAGATCTGGGTTAGATTGCCTATAAATCTAGGAAAGGCAGGTGAATCCATTTTTAATGTAGATGCTTAAACAAAGTAAGGAAACACTTAGTTAAAGAGGTAAAATTCATAACTTTATGGCAGTACAAAAATGTCTCTCATTTTATATCTACTAAAGATCAAACCCCTAAGGAATATAGAAGCTCTGTTGTTTATGTCCAGGTTGTAATAGTGATTATATTGGTAAGACAGATAGATGCTTAATACTAGACTTAAAGAACATTCTTCACAATCTGATAGTGTTAATGATCATATACAAAATTGTGAGGCATTCCAATATGTTTTAGGTTTACAAGGTATACTTGAAAATGATAATGTAGCCTGTAATGCAAGTAATAAATTAGGTTAAATATTTTCTAATACTAATATTATTGACAGTTCGCAAAATTGGTCTATACAATTGTTTAAAAAAACATTTGCTAAACGTAGGCTACACCTATTATTGCTTTAACAATGGGCTGAAAGCTTCAAAGGAGCTTTCTTTGTTTTTGTAGGTAGCTTTGATCAGTAAAGTAAGAATGCTTTGAACTTTAGTTTATACATACAGTAGCTATGATACATACAGTAGCTATGATACATACAGTAGCTATGTCACCTACACTAGAGGTAATGTTTTGATTGGTTACACACTTTTGGTACTTGTACATATAAGCTTGCAAATATGAATAATTTTTCATTCCTGATGATGACATAATTAATGTTGAAATATTGAACCCCGACATGATGACGTGCATTTCGATAATTGGAGTATGTAATATACTATCATACTGTATCTAAGATTAATCAGTGGACTTTTCAGTGTACACTCCATAATTTAGGACAACCCCACCTGTTAAAAATATAAATATAAGCTCTTTTGTGACTAGTGTCATGAATATTTTATTGATGGTTAAACATGCTGAATCTACAGATACATACACACACTCATATCAGTGTGTGTATGAATCTACAGATACATACACACACTGATATGAGTATGTTGAGTATCACTGTAGTGTTGTCTACATTAATTATTACTATTAAGCTCGGTTTTCATAGAATTGCTCACCCTATCGGCAACAGCCTCCACAGTTGTCGGTACGGTTGCACCTGGTTCAACTTCGTGCATTGCAACTGCCCCGAAGGCACCCCGATTCGTTTGCAACGCAATTGGCAAAGTTGAACCAGGTTCAACCTTCCCAATGACTGTTGCCGATAAGGGTGAGTGATTCTATGGAAACCAAGCTTTACTTGCCATTATCATTAATATTTATACAATTATAATAATTATCCTTGCCATAGCTGCCACAGTTGCTGTTGTCATCGTCATCATCATCACCACCATCACCCACCACCACCACCATCATCAACATACAGGCTCAAAATTACTTAACACATCAGCTTGAGAGATCACATACCGGCTTATCTAAGTGAAATCCTCCAACTCCTCCACCTCCTGCTAGAACCATTTCACCCTTGGTTTCATCCTGTGACTGTTGAAGTTGGCCTGGCTGTTGAAGTTGGGGTGGCTCCTCGGGTATGGGCTGTGTTTGATTTTTGGATTTTTGGGTAACACTAGCATTGGTAGAGAAGGAATTCTGGGCCGAAGCTGGCGGATAAGCTTCTGGTGAACATGGTAGGCTGACATCTTTGGTATACCCCAGGGTGACCTGACTGTGATATTGGTCACTTTGAAACGAGTCATGTCCATCAGATTTCTGGGTAACACCAGCAGAGAGGGAATTCTGGGCCGATGCTGGTGGATAACCTTGTGATGAACATGGTAGGCTGACTTCACTTTTATCCACACCGGTGGCCTGACTGTGATGTGAGTGGCTTTGAAACGAGTTATGTCCATCAGTGCTAAACTGTTGTCTTAATACTAGTTAAATGAAAGAATTGAATTGAAAAAAAAACAAACAAACAAACATTAAAATCCTATTAAAGATATTTAAAAGAAAAAAATATCAAAGAAGAAAAGGAAGTGTACATTCTACTGCTGGGATGTAAACAAAATAATAAAATATTTTCAAATAATGATTAAAAACTACTTTAAATGTGTTTAAATCACAAACTGCTGTAAATTCAGAATTAAATAAAATTGTATTTGTTTCTCAGAAATTTTAATTTAATTTAAATTTATACGTTACATACCTTGGTTTGTTTTGTTTTGTTGGCTGCTATCGGAATGAAGAGTTAATTCTTTTAGTTCTATGGTCAATTTCTCGACACTTTCATGACAACTGACTTTTTTTTTCCAGAAATCACGCTCAAATGTCAACTGTTGGTTTTCCAATTCAAGCTGCCTACACTTGGATTTGAGTTTAGCGTAGTCATTGCTAGTAATTGTTCCTGTTCCAGTGTTTGTCAAAAGAGTGTCTGTTTCAAGATCATCACTCATTTTGATTTTTTCTAAAGACAAAAAAAAAAAAAGAAACTAATTCACACAATATTCTGCATAGATTTATACTATTCAGGGGTCTCGCCAGCTATACTTACTGTAAGCGTGGCGGGACCGCCATGCTAGGGCGAAAAAACGAAATGATCACCATGCTTAGGAAAAATAAGCAAAGATTGCATCATGTTTAAAATGTTAGCGCCACGCTAAAAAATATGTACTAAGTATATTTTATTCAAAACGTTACAACAACAAATACCGAAGTGTCGAACTGCAGGCAGTTCCACAATGTTCCCAGGGGGAACAGTAGGCCTATTTGTATAATCGCATATCGTGAGGAACCGCCTTCTGTTTTGGATCTCTTTGTACGCCACCATGCAAGTAGTAGGCCTACCTGTGAAATCAGGGAGGTCCCTGTTCAGCTAGTGGATAGGGTGGAATTCCCAATTTTTCTGCTTATGGTTTTTTGATACTGCTTCTAACTGCCTAAGTAAAATGCAAGGCTAATCTTCCAAAATCGTACCATTATGACTTTTTAAACATCAAAATTTTATTTCCCCGTATTTAAAAATTCGTTAATTTTAACAACCTAACATTATTTTAACCTAACACTTAGAAGCGTAATTGTAGTATTATATTCATGTGGTACAGACGATCTGCATATAAGATGAACATAATTTAATAAATCTAAAATGTGTAGGCCCATGTCGTGCGTCAAAGGCGACTCCCTGTTTTTCGTTCGTAATTTGCTTATTTTAAGTCTCGTTTTATATATGAGTATCATGGTAGGTATTTTCGTATTGAACGTTGAACGAAGACATTGCAGTTCGACGATCAGTTTTAACTAATACTTGTTTTTAATTATGAGCTATTTTCTTTATTTAAATTTCAATAGTCAACCAAACATACACGTCTGATTCGGAAGACATGGCTTTAAACTCTAGGGAAGACCTAGGCCTACAGTAAATAGTACCGCCTAGAAAATTGTAACCAGCCATGCTCTAGCTAGTCTGATTTTATATTCAGGCCCGCATGTAATATTGAATATTGACTAATTTCAATGTACCTTCAAGGTGACGTAGTTTATTTTTGTGATAGGTATATCACAAAAAATATTGAAGCATCTTTAGCTAGTAGTCCCGATCTTAGCTTATGATTGATAAATAGGATAATTAACATGCACGACAGGCTAAGTTGTTGGGGCAGTTCTTTCTACTAAATCATCCGATTTTGGTAAAAATATCATTTATGATTTAATTACGAGGAAGGGAGAACTAATACACAACTAATACTTATCATGTCAAAGTATTATTAACACAACAGCAAACATTCACTTAATTAACTTTAAAGCT